AAATTACAAAGAAAGACATTTTTATGAATCTAAACCTAATCTCCTTCTTACCATAAGCAAAAGATTTATTGACATTTTCTGTTCGGCTTTATCAGCTACAAAAAAAGTGGCCATGAAGCAAAAATACAAAAATCTCTTTTCTTGATTTATGGGTGCTCTCTCGAAACCTCTTTTCTTAAATTAGTGGTGCTTTCTCAATGGCTTAATATGCAAGTTGTGTGCCTTTGAGGGAATAAAAGTCTAGTGTTATGGGTGATGTGGAGTTGTCTACCCAAGGCCTTCACTGAAATTGGGCTTTTCTACTAGAAATTCGGAGGGGAAGGAAAATTCAACACTGTAAAAGCAGGTAGTAAATGGGGATTACAACAACTTGACTCAGTTCTACGAGGGGGGTAAAGCGAACACAGGGAGGGGTCCTGCATACATTTCTCACACATCAAAAAGTTGAAATAATGCATCACAAAAAAAATCACATATTACTAAACTTAATTATGGAACGATCTTCCCCATTTTATTAGAAATATATCTTCAGTTAATGCTTTCAAGAAGGCTCTTAAAACTCATTTATTCCAGAAGGCGTTTCCAAGCTAATTTATTGTTTTTATTCATTTCATAAGGAAAGATTTGTATGTAGGACTGTAAAGATTAATTAGTTATTGTAAATAAGACTTTTTGTAAATTGGAATCTCTTTAGGATTTTAGGATTTTGTTGAGTCAATTAATGTAATGCTCAGATGAAAATTTTTTTRCTCTGGATTGATCTTTGTGCAATACATTTAAATAACTTTTAGGTTCACATATTGTGTAAAGCAAAAAATTCACAGTTCATGGGGGTTTAATTTTGTATTTTCACAGGTCAAAAAAAGTTAAAAGCACTTAGTCCCACCTAATGCATTTAAACCCATTTTAACTTATTTTGCCCCCTCTTCTACAGTAATGTAGTGGAAGAACTGGAATTTATCAGTTAAGTGAAGCACGGAAAAAATTGGTGAAAGGGTGGTTATTGTAAAATCATGTAGCTGTCACAAGCATCGTTCCTCGTTTTCAATGGTGACTTGAAACTCAGGAGCGGTGCATCATGAACAGAGGTCACAACTCATATTGCCACTGGAAACAGAGCCAGTTGCCCATGACAACAATATGACTTTTTTATGTCAAAACATAAACAGCAAACTTCTTAATTGCACCTCACTCAATGAAAATCATAGAATATCATGACACAGACTGAAAAGAAAGAAATTTTGATCATTGGAAGCCCACAGGTAGCATTTTAATGTCTGCAGAGGATTAAGACAGACTGCCTGAAAATTAGACTTCAACCACTAAATATGTAAAATATGTTCAGAAAATGTACTTCTGATATCAAACATTCTTTATGAAATGATAATAATAAAATTTTATTTCTTTATGCACTATAACACGAACAAAATAAGAGATTTAGCCCCCAAAAATCGGGAGCCGTTTTTTTAAAATGTACAGAACTGTAGAGAAGAAGAGCACAAGTCCAAAGAAAATCAATAATCTGTCTGTCACCTCTCTTCTGTTATATTTGTTCAGAAGATTCTTGCTTGTCTGAATTACTCCTGATAAACCTTTATACTCTTCTTGTGTAACTTTAACTTGGGAAGAAGAGGATGCTGAATAAAAAAATTTACAAAGACCAAAACATGAATTGTGTCATAAACACAAAGATGCTGGGATCCATGTTGGTATCTGAGCAACTGTGCAGTCCACCTACTTCTCCCCTAACCAAAAAGCTGGGCTTAATGTTCGGTCAAGGGTGGGGGTAGGTGTGCAGCTGTTCAGATACTGACATTGATCCAGAAGTTGTTTTGAGATATGGTTAAGTTAAC